ACAGCAAAAGACTGAACTTCTACTACATGACCCCCCCTGACTTGAAAGCTGGATCCGCGGCTGATGGTAGGGTAATTTAATAAATCTTACAACTGGGTATGGGAGTCGTGACTGATCAAAAAATACCTTTCGTAATTTATGGACGGCCCTTAATATGAATAGGGAGCTATGATAAAATATCATTATTTCAATTTATTCAAACTTACTTAAGGAACTATCATGGACAAGGATTTGTAAATAGAAACGAATCATTACAGTATATGGCTTTTATTTGTTTTCAATTTTATAATGTTTTTATACGCTTTTTTTTATTGTTGTTTGCCTAGAGGGAGGAGGATAAACATCTTCTCGAGGACACCCAGCATCCCGAGACACTGGATAGTGTTGGATTCTTACCAACTAAAAAACCCCCATTTTGGAACTACAAGTTTTCAGGAGTTTCTCCTTTGAAACTTGTGGTTCCGTCTAAGAATGCGTCAGATCCGGCATCCGTATGCCATCACATCACATTCTCTCCACACTAGCTGCTTGCTAGAATGGGCATCTTAACTAACTAACCAGAGACAAGTAACTTGTCTCTGTAACTAACTAGTAAATAGAAGTTTGTTTTAATTAACGTAATCTCAAACTAACTTGCGCATGTCATTTAAGCAAGGTGCCGATTGCGATATATGCGGTAGTCACATAAGCCTTGTTCCATGCTAGTCACAGAACACCTCTGAACTATGAAAAGGCTAAAAGGGTGGGGTTTGGCTGGAAAGTAATTATTTATAAATTTATTAAAAATTATTTTAATGACTTCAATTGGATGGGATTTCTAAATAATAATCAGAGGCACAACGTGTTTACATTTTATTGGTTAACACTAGTGTTCTCTTAGAATTAGGTATAACTTTGACAAAGCTGTGCAATCTGGGATGCTAAATAATACAGCATATTACTATACATTAAACAGAGTAAGGGTTAATTCGGCACAGTCTTTGCAACTTAGAATAGAGGAAAATTCTTTGAGCGATTTGAATTTTTTAAAACTTGTACACCAAATCGTGCAAAAAAGATAAACTAAAAACAGAACATGCATGGTGAAACGTTGAAAACAAAAAAACTACGTATCGCCTACAGAGAAATGTATCGAATTAGCATCACCCTGGTTCAATAAACCGGATTCAGAAAAATACACTCGGGGAAGAGGCAGCGCTTTAACAACCCAGCATTATGAAACTTGAAATGGAAAGACTTATGTATTACTAAGTGGTATTTTTGATGCCTTTCATTAAGAGAAAAGCCCCCCGTGTAGGTTTCTGAAATAATCCGAATCTCCTCCGTGAAACTAGCTCCTCATTGTTGATATTTGCGAACTCAGCTAGAAGCAGCTGCCCTCAGGGGGCTGTGCCAGCTTCATGTTCTCCTTCAGTGTCATTAAACGCCGCAATTCCTGAAGCAGAGTCTTAATGGTGTACTCTCTTTGCCATCTGGCTAGCACTGGAACATGCCTGCTGTCCACCTATAGAGAGAATGATTGAACCACAAACCACAGAATCGTTGGAAACTCTACCACTCCATTGCTGTTATTAATGCCATTCATGTTAATTCTGGAAATGAATTTTGCTACAGGCGGCTCGTCTGGATATCTGGGCCCACATTCAGTTTTCACCGAATACATCCGGTTTTCAAATGGGGTTCTGGGGGGGCCAATTATCATCCCCATCCAGTGTGTGAGAGTCATGTCGTCATCGTTCTCCAAGCCCCAGCTAATGGTTCCATCCGATACTCCTTTTTGGCCGGCCTCTAACTCTTCGAGAAGCCTGAAATTTCTGGGAACAACTGCGAAACAGACGAAAGTAATGAGGATACGTGCCTAAGATTGACGGAGAAGTATTGGACTTACCCACGCCCGCCGATGGGCTAGTCATCGTCACCCGGGTTCCTTACTGCTCAATCAACAATAGGAGCTGGCAAAAACTGACTTCGCCCTGAAGATACTAATTACAGAAAGTAATTAATAACCTGCACAATGAACAGCCAAAAGTCAGGTGGAGCAAATTACGACAAGAGACGTCAGACTGGAGAGGTTAAGCGCAAACAACGCAATCTGATTGGACGATCGTTGAGCGTCAGCGCTCCCTGGTGATAGTTTTCCAGCGAGAGTTCATAAGTGCGGTCACAAAAGTGCGGTTAAGTATAGCGCTGCACAGTAGAGGTTATGTATCCTTATTTCATAAATTGATAGAGATTCCAGTTCTTTTGGAATAACAGTGATAATGGCATTACTCCGACACGGCAGGTCGTTTCTAAAGAATCGCATGTTCAATGCGCCCGTTCGACATCAGCATGGTTACATCGTTTTGTAAGTTTGGCCCTTTGAAATCACGAAAATCATCCTAGCTAGATGCATTCCATTTTGTAGGCTTCCAGAGATAGGCGAAGAAGCCCCCGAAAAAAACCCGCTCTATCACAACGATGGGCTTCCCAAGTTCACGCAAATCACAATAGAAAATTGCAGGGCTGCGATGGCCCAGCAAACGATGGACTTCGAAATGGGCGTTCAAGAGATTGAGAATAAACTGACAAACTCACAATGCAGCGACGCGTTTAAGGATATAATCGATCCGATAGAGAAATTAGGGAATATTATGGAAACCACATGGGGCTTGTCGAAGACTTTGTACTTGGGAAATAACACTCTAATGCCAACGTCCAGCTATGTGGCGATACATGAACGTGCCAGACGAGCCCGAGCAGCCAAATACACCAGTAAAACAGTTCATTCGGTTCTGAAGAACGAGTTGGAGGAGAATCGAGAAAGAACTGTCGAGCAAACGAGAGTTTTGCAGAAATTTCGGCTAGAAGGCAAGCTAAATGGCTTGGAACTGGTAGGAAGAAACGCGGATATTTTTAAGCATGATTTCGCCAAACTCAACATTGAGAAGAAAAACTTCAAGTTTAAGAACGACTTATCACTTAGACAGCATTCGCAAATAGTTGGCGAAATCAGTATTGTAGGCGATTTTCCAGAAGACTTATTACAGGTAATTTTACAAAAACACCCTGATTTCCTGCCGCTGATTTAAAGGGCTCCTTTTATATTATTTTCAATAGACCCGCAATTACTTTGGTGGCTTCAAGCTGTCTTCGTTGTCTCTAGATGCAGTTTGAATGCAATGAAAGTTTTTTTCAGGCTACAGCAATGGATCCGAATAATTACAAAAAAGGTCCATGGAAGTTTACATTAATGCCGCACGTGTATACGCCCCTAATGCAACATTGTCCAAACCGTGAAATTCGATGGCTTTTATGGAAATCGAACGCGACTAGAGGATCAGTTGTAGGCGAAAAAGAGCTTGCAACCAGTTTGCACGTGGAGGAAATTCGATTTCTTCGAGCCAATATTGCAAATTACTTGGGTATGTTGCAGTGTAGAGGTTTTGTTTCGCGATCGCACTGATTGTGATGCTTTTAGGGTACAAATCTTATGCAGACATGTCGATGGAAACGAAAATGGCAGGGAGTCGAAGTGAAGTGAATAGAGTTCTAGGTTTACTGCTGGACAGAGCTAGACCGGCTCAAGATGAGGAACTGGATAACTTGCTGATATTTGCAAATGAACACGGTTTCAGGAGCGATAGGTATGGGCAGCGGTAAAATCCGTACGACAAGCATAAAAACCAATTGAATATTTATAGATTGGAGCTATGGGACGTTCCTTACTGGCGGCTCAAGCAAAAGCAATTACTATTCGGCTACGATGAAAATAAGTTGAAGGACTTCTTCCCTTTGAACACTGTGCTCAATGGCATGTTCCAACTGTGTGAAAAACTGTTCAATATCGTGATAAAAGTCCGAAGTGGCGTGACGGGATGGCACAAAGATGTAAGGTAAAACATCACCATTGGTCATTTCATTTCGTTCCGTGGATATTAATAAGGTTTTTTAAAGGTTTTATGATATATTCGAGCCGCACAGCTCAGCGCCGGTAGCTGGATTTTACCTGGATCCTTATGCGAGATCAGAAGACAAGTTCAAGGTGGCCAACTCTGGCTGGATGGTAGGCATACAGAGTAAAAGCGAAGTAACCGACACGAAACCTCTGGCGGCGCTGATTTTCAATTTCGAATCGCCCCAAGGCGATAAACAATCTCATCTCACATTTTCCGGTAAGTGAATGTGGATGGTTACAATTTTCACAGTTTTGTTGTTTGCTCTATTACGCGATGATTTGTTTTACTTTCGTGCGAAATATTTGGTTATAGAATTTTTTAACATTCTTTACATGCAGTTTTGTGCATTCTGTTAGTTGGCAATTTCGACTTGTTTTTCATTATCTTAATTCTTTTGAATAAAAGTAAACATGCCTTAGAGGGGATTTTAATGTTCGTTAAAAACTTTAACATATTGGGAATGTTTAAAAGTAATATCAAACCAATCAACCGATTTTTTGAGTTGTTCTAGGAAACGAATCTGGCAAGGTGACTTCGTAATGAAATGTCTTGGTTTGTTACTGATTATTTCTTCTAGAAGAATAATTTTTGTGTCATTTTGTTCTGTATTGACGCTGTGAACGATATTATCACTTGAGATGGTGTGGGGTTTTCGATTGCGCTGAAAAAGAAGGTCTTTCTGAGAAAATTTTCTGTCATATAAATAAGGTCGACAATATTTGCATGCAGAAACTGTGCCCAAAGGTTCCAAGAGACTTTTTCAATGATTTTAGAAATTCAGGCGAATAGTGCCTTTAGCTCTTTTCTTTAGGCAGACTGAAAGATTTGGTGATTTTTTTCAAAGTTGTTGGTTCGTTCGTCAAGTTCGTTGTTCAGTGTTTGAGGCGAATTAAATTGTTTTACTGCTTTCAGTTTATCTGGGTTTAGACTGACTCTTTTATTAGTTATTTGGTGAAGGCTTTCACGGCCGGTTAAATCACATTTAGAAATGTTTTCCGGGCTTTGAAGCCGTGGTCTATGGGAATTTCTTCCTGACGTTTCGTCCACAACTGCGGTGGACATTATCAAAGGAGATGAGGCAGTGAGCGAAGTGATCTCCCGTGCTTTCCGACTGGTTCAACTGCAGTCTTAGTCTTATCATCTATGTTATGATTGAAAGTTTTATCCCGTTTGTGCGTTTTTGAGAAGGCCAAATTGTCCATTCTTGATCGACACTAAATTAGTTGTTATTTTCAGATGTAAAGATGCTATTTGAAAAATTCGGCCACTCTTTACAGCACTTACTAACCCGAACCTACTACTCGGAAGTGGCGGGTCTTTCCAATGTGGAATGGGATGCGGTGGGCATCAGCGGACACATGCTGTCTCATTGGCTCTATAACGAGTGAGTATTTTTAGTTATTTTATTCTCACTTTTATTTTAATTAAAATCGGAAACTCTAGAGAAGTAATGAGGACCATATCATGCCACTGTGGCAGTGGAGATAAGCTCTCCCAAGCAACATTCGAGAAGATTTGCCAAGCAGAACAGCACATGGCCGGCTTGGACTTGTGCAATGAGCTCTATCTATCCGCCTTGGACTTGGAGCTGTACTCATCCAAAGACTATTGGCTGGACATAGTCAAGCGGCTTTGGCCCCAGTACAAGAGCTTCGAATATCAGTACAAAATCGACGCTCACCCCTGCCACTTTACGCAGATTTTTGTCGAAGATTGGGCCGCGGCCTATTATTCGCATGTTTGGTCAAGAATGGTGGCCGCCGATGTGTACAGCGCTTTTTACGAAGTCAGAGACAATGAGCAACAAACAAAAGACGTGGGAAAACGATTTAGGGATACGTTCTTGGCCATGGGCGGCAGCGAGCATCCGAGCAAAGTGTTCAGGGAGTTCAGGGGACGCGATCCTTCCCATAAAGCGCTGCTGAAGTCATTGGGCTTGAAAAAGCCGCAGCTGGAAAACTAGTTTGGATTGACTTAAGTGCACGAATTGAAGGAGTGCTACTGGTTTGCTCTTTAATTAGACATTGTTGACTGACTGTTATTTTATGTCCTAGTCCGAAGTGAGCTAGGTAGTGTGCAAATGAAGTGTTATGGTTTTTAATAAACTAATCTATCGATACATGTTTTCGCAGATGTGAGCGACGGAAATGGCTGTAAATAGTGACTAAACTGTTATTAAAAACCCCAGTTTTGGTCGATATTAGTTCGCTTTGCTTTGCGTCTTTTCCGCGTCTCGTGCTTCCATCTCCTTCAGTTTATCTCGGTACTCTTGAAGAAGGGTTTTAAATTCCCCATCTGGCTCAAGCTTAAGACTGGCTTCCAGTTCGGAAATTCCTTGTTTGCCAAATCCCAACTCGTACAGCCCAACGCCTCTTCTTCCAAGACACAAAGCGCGTTCATGCAAATTTACCGCACTCACTGGCTTGTACAAGTCCAAGGCGCTTGTGCAGTCATCCACGGCTCTGCTGAAATTGCCTTAAATTGTGCCATATAATAGATTTTACCTCGTAATTAATTTGAAATTACACACCGGCTTTCAAGTGAGATTCAGATCTGGCTAGGAATAAATCCACAAACTTCGGGCGCAGCTTGATGCCGAAACTTAGCGCACTAATTGCGCCCAAGTAGTTCTTATTGCTCATAAATTCGGCTGCTCTGGCTAGTAGATATTGAGGGTTTTTCTCCTCCGGGCGCAAATCTTCGTCAACGAATCCTGAAGGATTGCAAATTATTATTGAAGAGTGATTGGCACCCTAATTTTTACCGGCAGTTCTTCGCGCTTCGGCCTGCTTGGAGAGAAACTCATTTTCTTCCTCCAAAAGCGACTCTCTAGACGGCGTGGGAAATTCCCTGGGAGTGAAGAGAATCTGAAGAGTGCGCGAACTGCGTGGTTTTGGAATTGGGGTTAGTTCAGGAACTTTTTTCTTTGGGGGAACTTTAGGGGAGTTAATTCGGGAACTTGCACTTGTTTGTTTGGGACGTCGCTCCACATCCAATTTCCACTCATTGATATCGCCGAGCGCTTTGGATTCTTCAGCCTTTCGGTTTTCTTCGATTCTCCTCCGTTCTCGCGTATCCACTTGAATTAGCTCATTTATCGCGACTCTAAGGCAATAAAGTCGAACAACTAGCTTGTGTAAAAAACAGTCACTACCTTTTCAGTTCGGCTTTTTTGGTCCTTTTCTCTTCACGCTCTTTTTGCAACCGAGCGTGCTCTTCTTCAATCAGCCTCAACTTCAGCTGATTTTTTTCCTTCTTGGAAAGATTCTGCACTTCCAGAGTGTCCCAAAGGGCACTGCACAATTTCCTCAACTCAAAAACAACATGCGTGGAGGTTTTCGTGCAAGTGCTTTGCGAGATATCGATTGGATTTAGTAGAATCACTTCGAAGAAAAACGGGTGGAAAGTTAGCTTTAGATATTGGGGCGCGGTGAATACATCCACTTTATTGGGAGGCACTCCATGAAGGGGCACTTCAATGGAAAGTTGCTCTTCTGATTGCTTCCACTCGAAATCTTTGATAACTATAGGCATTTTGCTGGGAAGGGTTAATTATACTCAGATAAGTTTCCTCGGTTACCTGATCGACTTAATTCGCAACAGGGTTGTACTAAGGAAAATAGGGCATTTATTGGAATTTTGGTATTTACAACATTTTCATTTATTCAACATTCTTCTCGATCAATAGGGCCTAAACTTCCTTGAGCTCTTCATTGCCTCCACCCTCTTCTTGGCGTCTTCGAAATTCTTCCGTAGCAAGGTTAGATTCTTCATTTTGCCCTCTTTTATTTGGAAGGTATAGAAGTTCTTCAGCTCCTTCTTCCGTTTCTTCTCAACGATTTTTCCGGCGAGTTTTATTTTCACGCTTTCCTTATTTGCAATGCCTGGCTTGTGGCCTTTTTTAGTCACCACAGTCCATCCCTCATCATCCACTTCCTGCGACAGCTTCTTTTCCTGCTTGCTGGATTTCGCCTGAGACTTGTCGTATCTCAACATAAAAGTATTCAGTTCGTTCGCTAACTCATCTGGGTTTCTAATGGAATTGTTATACTCTTCCACCCATTTGCTCAGCCCAGTTTCAAATGTTACACCACTCTGGCTCATCCGGATCTCATCCAAAGCCAGCACTTTCGAAAGGCCTTCGGGCTTAGCAAACACCACATGGGCTGATTTGAAGCCGGGACTTGAGGGCATTATCACTTTAGTTACGGGGGCTGTAGCTGAAAATAAACTTTGCACATGTTTGTTTTCAAAGTAACTGGGAATGTTCAACACAAACAAAGTTCTTCCAGGCGGTTTGTCGTCTTCATAGTGCCGCAATGAGTGCTCCTTTAGGAAAATTTCGTGCGGGTGAGTGTCGGCATCGGGGAGCCTAATTGTGACGGCTTAAAAACGAAACGGGTCTTAGAACAAACTTGACTGAAACTCGAAGGACTTATTTTAACTCACCTTTAAAGCCCTGAATTGTCTTGGAACACATTGTTGTTTACAGCTGGAATAGCGGTGAATTAACCTAACTTTTGCTTGATGGATTTTTGAGTTATTTCAGGCCCCCTCTAGTTAGTTACCTTTGCAACTACTCCGCAACTTTCAAATTAAACAGCAATTTTGCAGTTGGATTTTAAAAATTATTATTATTATTTACATTAATATTGTTTAGTATTATTTAGCTATAATAATAATTTCAAGAGTTCAAATTGCCATCTCTACCAGGATTTATTCTGTTTCGAAAACACTCACTTCTAGGTCATGATACTGTGGCGAACTCTATGCGCAACTTCTGAAGTAGCAACTCCAATCGAAACGCCAGCTATATCTCACCCACTAAGATCTGCGGCGTTTCGATAGGCGGATAGAGTTCGCCACAGTATCATGCTTCTAGGTTATAAAATACTAAACTTTGTGGTTATGAAAAAATGCCTAGAGACTTGTCAATAAGTACACGATTCTCGATAACTGGCTGAATAGTTAAATGTTCAAGCGAAAATGGACTATGTAGAGGAACAGAAAAGTGAAATAGAAGCCCTAGAATCGATATACTATGGGGACTTTGAAATTATAACGGCGAAGCCCTATAAATTCTCAATACCGATCAAAACAGAGGACTACGATCCGGAAAGCAATACTGGCTTATTGTGCGACTTAGTAGTTACTTATACCCCAAAATACCCCGATGAAGAGCCGATAGTGGAAATAGAAAATGCGGAGAACTTCGAGGGCTCCTTCGAGTCTGAGCTGCTCAAACATCTGGACGAACAGGTAAGATTTAGATGTTTCACTTGGGTTCTCCGAAACTTAGCTAGTAATTTCACTAGAACACCCAAACAGGTATCGGCCAAACCCGTCATTTTTATGCAAATCCTCCTCCAAACTCCATCAACCCTCTCAACAATACCATCGACTTTACTAATAGCAGCTGGTTGTAACCGTAATGTTAAGAGTAACTAGCCACTAAAATAGGACTTTGTCTTACTTTATTTATACAATCTAGATAAAGGAAAACCTAGGTACAGTGATGATATTCACTCTAGTTTCCACAGCCCAAGAGTGGCTGCATAGTAAATATGAGGCAGATAAGAAGAACAAAGAAGAAAGAGAAGCTAGAAAAATACAGGAGCTTGAAGAAGCCGAACGTAAAAGGTAGGTGCTGGGCAGATGAGTGATTGAAATTCATTGTGAGTTTTGCAAGGTTTGAGGGTACAAGAGTTACAATCGAAACGTTCCTAAAATGGAGACAACAGTTTGAGGAGGATTTTGGGATAGACAAAAAGAGGGAACTGGCTGAGAAAGAGGGTAGAAAATTAACAGGTACGTAAAAGATTGCGTCTAAATATACTAGACTAGAGTGGAATCCATTTTAAGGTCGTGAGCTATTTATGACCGATAATACGCTGAATGAATCCGATCTCAAGTTCCTAGACGAAGGAGATCGTGTAAAAGTCGATGAATCCTTGTTTCAAGATCTCGATGATCTTGACCTGGATGATGAGGATGATGAAGACTTTGATCCCAATAACTACAACAGCGATTCCTCATAGATAATTGTAGGAATTTTATAGTTTGTGTTTAAAAAAATTAGATAGAAAACATTGCGCGCTAAAACTAGAGGAAGATAAAAACCAATTTATGGTCACTAATTGTTTATTTATTAACATATAACTACCTACTGGAAAACGATATGATACAAATACTGCTACTCCCTACTGATACAAGAATCAATAACCACATTTCTTAATCCGATACGGACAACAATATAACTACAAAAATATCTACACTTAATACATCTTAAACATTATCTAAATAAAGCTTGAAATTAAAACTGATTTTTTTATGTTAGTACTTTACTACTTAAAAGTTACGGGAAAAATTAAGAATATTATGTTTGTACTCATGTATTTTAAACGAGGGTGATATGCTGTGAAAATGAACGCTACATCTCTATTGTTGGCAACATTTTTACTGCAAGAAATTCAAGTCTATAAGATTAGAAGGTATTATTTACCAAAATATATTCGAAAAGTACAACCGCCTAGTAAAATCGATAATTTATATTGGACGTTTAAAAACCAATGATTCGTTATCACATTTTGAACAAAACACTTTTGGGCTACTAGGAAACACAACAACTATACTTAAACAGACAACGAAACCCCAAAAATATCACATAATTTGTTGCATTTACAGGCAAGGTGTCCCAACTAACACACAATCTTCAACGATTACAACTTAAAACACCTATGGGAGACTGAAATACGCGAATTTAAAACACAATACCAATTAAATTGCTTGCCTAGAAAATGGAATGTTTTCTGATATTACTGCTGTTGTTTTTTCATTGACTTTCACAGTGTAAATTCAGGTGAATGTTGCAAAAATGGTAAACATTTGTTTTAATCACTTGAAATCTGCAACACCCTGTATGGCTGGGTATTTGGGCCCACGCGCTCAACTTATGTATGACTGAGATCTTGAGACATGCTTTTCGTTTTAAAGCCTTCTTTTCTCTATTCAAGCATAATTTATAAGCTACGAAAGGGATCAAAAATCTTCAAAGATCTAACGAAAATGATGGAGTTTTCGGCCAAAGAAAACGCCAATAGAACATGTTTTTTCCGCAAAGCGCTGACCGAAAACTCCTCCAGTCCCGCAACATCTTAGATATCCTAGTATTACGAATTGAACATTTACAATAAACATTAAATGAAGAATAGATGGCAATTTCTCCCGGTCATGACCGGATTTTCATGTGCTCCTTCAGCCAAATTACTCCTATAAATACATAAGGGTTTTGTGCAGGTGTTTTTCCTTCTACTTCGCCCCTTTCTTGTTAAAGGACAAGTTAGTATTTCAGTTAAATATTTTAATTGGACCGAGTTCTCCACACAGGAAAATCCTAACAGTTGCAGGATTTCAGGACAAACATTTAATAAATGCGCTCACACTCACTCCTTATTCCGTCTTTACATTATCTCGTTGAATTGCCTTACTTTTCCGCTCCAGAGTACTGGATTCAATGCCACTGTCTTCATCGGCACTATCCAGCAAACTGGCCTCGCCCTTGTTAAAATGCCCTTTCTTATCGACGAAATTGTCGTTCAACAGTTCATACAGAACAGTCTCGCTCTTGACCGGAATTATATTAATTGGCTTATAGGGCAAAACGTCGAAGCAAACGTTCTTCGTTTGCGGCAAATTCTCATCAGTGGGCGTGTCGACGTGTTGAACCAAAAACCTGCTTTTCCCGAACGTGGAAAAAGCGGGCTTTTCCCTGATTATTTCCATGTCTTGCAAAGGTTCCACCACGAAGGTTTTCCCTGAGGTGAAAGCACTGGGACTGGGCGGCAAATCCAGCTTCAGCTTGCTCCTGGTGTGCCGCAAGCCGCCTAAAACATCTAGTTTTCCGTGAAGATCCAATGGTTTCCCCCAAAACAAGCTTACCTTCATTATTTTTGCTCCTGTTAACGGCTTGCTCGGCCAATTTTCTAAGCGAAGCGACCGGCCTGAAGGAGGCAAAATTGTCAGAAAACCCCGAAGATTCACTAACAGGGGTGCAGTCTTCCAAGCCACTGTCGGGGGTGATGTTTTCCATCCAACTGCTCGCTCCAGGGAAGAATTGCGAACACCCTGTATCGTCCAACTGGCGATTAGTTGGCACCACTTGGCAGTCATAATCTGGGGTTCTAGGAGCACCTAGAAAATCCATGTTTATTCGCCTTTTCGACGCTTTAAACGTTTGGCGCAAGTGTGCGCAAGTTTAGTTGAGAGAACGCTTGCTGTTTTAGTACTAAGACTGTGGGTGTAGAGGTGCAAGACACTGGCTCCTACAGCCGGTAGAGGCAGTTGAAAGTATTGAATAAAAAGCATGTTAAAGTTGCTTACTTGAACCATCACCCTGAAAATCGATGGGACTGGTGAGATAATACAAGCTACGTCTACTGTTGTTAATTTTCGGTTTGAAGGTAAAATTGCTGGGGTTTAGGTCGCTTTCAGCAGTGGGCGGAGGCAAACAAATCTCTGGATCGAATTCCCAGTCTGGAATCGATACGGTTAGCACACATGAACTGTTATTTATCCGGAACCTAATGAGTGAAACTAGTTAGATCTAGAACAACAACAGTCATGGTATGATGTTCATTTCAGAATGTGACCTTGTTGCTCTAAATGAGAGTAGATGAAGATGGTGATGATTGGGATGAGTGTGAGTGAAATGGCTCAATAATCTAACACCAAAAGCGGCAGAAGAAGACGAAGGTCTGCACTGAGGAAATAGCCGCAACCAAGGTAACTAAAGCTCTAAACTCCTAACGCTTACCAGCAAACGCAACAAAGTCTAGCTGGGGCTTCCACAGGTCCTGACTTTGCAGCACCGGACTTTCCGGCTCTCGTGGGTATTCATACACGCAATGATACTTCTGTTTTTTGAACCACACGCCTTTGGACTTTTTCTGGAAGACAACCTCCGATAAAATGGGCCAGATAATCGAAACAACCACTTACCATTTCCGCTCTGTCCAAGCTCTTATCTGGCGAACGTAACGCCGATTTGGAGGGCGTTGCAAATTTGTCCCATGCCGAAGGAACGAACTCCAAATTGTCGCCCTCTTCCTCGCTGCTGCTGGTGCTTATGTCTCTTTCCGTGGATTCTTCAACAATTTCTTCCATAGGCTGAATATCTTCCAACTGAAACAGCGGCGTCATTCGTCAAAGACCAACTGAAGAGTTACGTGTGCTTACCATGTCCTGAGGGGCAGCTTTCAGAGCTTTTAGAGACTCTTCATGCTCGCCTTCCTTCCAGATGAATTCCCCGCTTGAGCTGGATCTGGTATCCGAACCGCTTTCCCAATCCTGTTCTTCTGCCTCGTTGCTCTCGCTAAACGATGTGGACATCAGTTGGCTGTCGATCGGACCGCTAAATCTGATGTCCGTTAAAACACCCAGCATATCATGAGATTCTTCAGCGGCCGAATCGCTTTTGTAAGCAACGTTCACGTACGGGACGTTGTTATCGAGATTTTCGTAGATATTCGAGATGGCTTCATCGGCAAACGGGAATTTGTAGACATCCAATTCTTCTTCTTTGGCCAGAGTGGTTTCTGCACTGTAATACGTTTCAGACGGCAGACTTTCATACAGATTGTCTTCATTGTCGGGTTTACTACAAAAGTCTTCATTCTTCTCGTCTGATAAACTGGGGCTTTGGATCGATTTGAACGTTAGTAGGGAAGCAGGCAACGATTTCCACGGCTTGTCTTCCGGAGATGGTAAAGGGGCCACCTTGAAACGAAGAAAAGTGTGCTGGAGATATTCGAGATGTTTAAGTTGCAATACGACTCACCACCTTTGTTGGGAAAGCAGGAAAATCCGCTGAATGATGTCGCTCATTTTCCAAAAACGCATTCAAATAAATCGGGTATTCACCCCCACTGGGCTTTACAGCCACCTCTTCGTTCTTCTGCTCATTGCTAGCACTATCACTAAACGACTCAGTTGTTTCACCAAGTTTCATCGTTTTCTCTTCACTGGCATCGGTAACATCTTCAAGCTTCCCGTCGTTTAATCGATATGCTTCTGCAATATCTTCGGGCTCTTTTTCGTTCGCAGATGCAAAATCGTCGAAATTGAAAAGCGTATCATTAGAGCAACAGGAACTTTGGCTTGCTGTCTGGGCGTTTTTGACAAAAACGCTATCGTTAGTATGCGAAGACAATGCTGGCGGCAATTCATCAGACCAATCGCTGTCCGAGTCTTCGTATCTAGAAGAAAAACTAATTTGTTAGGTGAAGATTAGGATTTTCCTTTGCAGTTCCATTGCTTTCCTTCTTACCCATTCAACATCTAAAAATCGCCGTGAAAGCGAACGAAACAAACCCTTGCGACCGACGCCAATACTTCAATTTGCATTAGTTACATACTGATCGCTTGGTTTTTCCAGTTGCAAATCAGCGTCGCTCCTGAAGGGTTCGGCACAACTTCGACTCCTATTTACACCCTAATGTATTTGTTGTGCCGAGTAAGAGCGTTTTTTACGCGAGAAAAGTTCAGCACAACTTCGAAGTCCCTTAAATTATAATGTATTTGTTGTGCGGAGCCCTTCAGATACGACGCTGGTTCACGCGGAAACCTTTACCAATACGCGCTATAACCAGCAAGCAACAAATACGTTGAAATCTAATGGTCGTCAAAGTAGTGCGTGATTGCATGGCAAAAACTGAACCATCGACAAGTTTAGTGTTTTTAAGTTCTCCGGCGCCCCTCCTGAACGGTTCGGCACAACCAGGACTTCCATTATATCCTAATCTATTTGTTGTGCCAAAAAGTGTATATTCCCAAAAAACTTGTTTATCATTATCCCAAAGGATGTTAAATTTACGTAGGATATTAGAGAAGCATATTAATACGGAAAAGTGCCTTAGGACGATGGTTAGTAAGTGAGCAGTGTAAACATAAATAAAAAAGCCAAACAATGCAAACAAATATATTTAAACTATGAAAACAAAATGAATACAATAAACGAGTGACCGTGAATTGACGAAAGCCAACATAATGGATAAAAACTATTGACAAAATAAATTAGGAAGCATAAAACTGGTTAGGGATATAGGGGTGCTATTGGTTAATACAGGCTTCTAAAGTCTGAGCTTGCCTCTGCCTATGTTTTCTCCTGAAGAGTGAAAATGAATGTAAATGGTATCATGCAATCACACGATGAATGCAAGCGATAGGTTTCAATGTCATTGCATCAGAAGAAGAAATCATTTTGCGGTTTTATTGCTTGAACGATGCATGAAATTAAAATCCGATATCGCTGCGAAGTTCTTCAAATAAAAGCACATGCCCAAAACAACGAGAAAATCACTTACTTTGGACTAATTTGCGCGAGCATTCCCATTTCTTCATCATTCAGTTCGAAGCTGTTTTCCTCTGGTATGGGCGATAGCATCGTGTTGTAAGCGTTGTACCTTAGAAAAATTTCGTTGCGCTCCGCCTGATTCCACTCCTCTTCTTCTTTGATATTTTCCTGCGGCGCACTCTAAAAAATCCAATAAAACATCACCAAACCTCGGGAAAAACCAGACGAAAACTTTTACCTGAGCTTGTGGAAGCTTCGCCAATAATTCATTCCTTAGGGCGCTCACCACTTCATCATCCATGCCGTATCGGATGTAGCTGCCTAAAAGGAAGAACAAATTTCATTAAAAAATATCTCATTTTACTCAAAGAGCGGTTTCAACCAACTTGTGCTAGCTTGTGACTCAATTTCTTCAGCTAACTGCTCGTTGTTTAATTGGGGGTGCAAAAACCACCCCCCGCAGGTCTTCAAATCTTCACCGTTCCCCTCATCTACAAGAAAAAGCATTGTATATTCTATATACCAATATTTTTGCTGGTCAAACCTTTGAGACCATCGTCCACTGGGCTGTCTTGAAGCACAAAAGTCCCATTGATGGCAGCATCTAATAGGGTTGCAGATGAATCATTTTTGGGCTCGATTGAAAAGGTCCCATCGGCAGCTTTTTTAGTAAACGTTTGATTTTCCAGTTGCTCAGTTGCATTATCGACAGTAAATGTATTGTTTCCTTCCACTAAAAATGTTCCGTCAATCATAGCGCGCCCCTTGATTTCTTCATTATTAGTATCGATTTGAATGTTTTCCTCTAAGAACAGCATGCTTTGCGGTTCAGAAGTGAAACTATCAAAGAAATTCTCGTTGGTTTCCCTGTTGGAATCGAACGATTTTCCTAGAAAGTTGTCCCAAGTTTCCAGCGAGTAGTTTAGTTTCTCCTCTTGGTTCGGGCCGCTTTCTTTAATCGCGGAAGTGAACAATTCATTCGAATCATTTGTCTGGCTATCAAATAGGTTTACTCCAGGCGGTTCAGTAAATGTTATGCTGGATTTTTTCCCAAAAGGCGTGCTGCTAAATACCAAAGCATGCGTCAGTAAGTTTGGCTTGGATTCCTGCTGGCTGTCGCTGACATCAAACGCTACTTTGGGCAAATTCGGCAATTCACTATCTAACTTTCCGCCGGTTTTATTTTCACAGCTATCTGTTGGAGGGCTAGTCGGTGGAACGTCACAAATTTCTGGAACTTCTGAGTTTGTGCTGTTACAGTTTTCACTAGGGGCGGTAGTTTCCAATAACGCAGTTTTCCGCTCCGCGCTTAAGAATTCATTTACACCAAGGCAAATCTGCGGCAAACTATTGCAGGTTTCTTTGGGAGATGGGCTGGAAAGATTCCTCGCTTCCATCATATTGGGGCCTTTGATGAACTGCGGTTTAATTTCCGGTAAGAACTGGTCGGTAAACACGTCGGGTTTTCTGGCTTTCGGTTCGCTGGAAACCATTTTCTCCGGCGAATAACTTAAACATGAGTTAATACTAACGCTATTTTCTACATTCTCACTACATAAATCAGGTACGATTTGAGATTCCTTAATTTCTGCTTTTGATTCGTTTAGTTCGGGGTCGTCCTTTGGTATTTGAGATTCTTCTTCATAATCCCGCTCAGCGCTCTTAGCTGGAATTAAGTTCGATTCCAATAAATCCACGTTGGCTTGACCGTGATCCTCGTCTAAACTAGCTAATATATCAGGCAAGTTGTGTTTTGGTGGGTGTTTGTCACTTTCGTCTTCTATTTTCTTGGTTTCGCTGTCTTGTCTAGAAAATGTTTTATTCATGTGAATTCCTGTTGGCATTGGGCGATATTTATCAACCGACACATTGAAAACATTGTAGATTTGATTAGGAGGTTTGATTTCAGTTGCACTGTTAAGCTCGCGTAGCACGCTCAAGTTTTGACTCTTGTTATCAGGTACAAACAGTAAACTATCCCGTCTTTCCACTTGCATTTTCTTCAACTCCTGCTCGAAAGTGTCCTCTAGACTGAGCAAATTGCCTTCGCTGCTGAAGTTTAGGCTCACATTTTCCAGATTCGACTTCCTCGGCCCTCGGTTCGATTTGTAATCGATGCTGGGCATTGGAGTTTCCGACTCTGACTCTGAGTAATCGACGTGCGTGAGCACCATCAGGTCAGCTACTGAGCGCGACTTTAACCGCACCTTCTCACTGTAAGCCCCACGTTCCACTTTCCGTCGCCAATTCTCCTCTTCCGTGTCGCTGCCACTACTTGCTTGCTTGAAATTGAAACTATCCGTTAAACTATCGTTCGGAATTGGAGATTCTTTCAACTCTTCGGTTTTCTGCTTAGTGCCAGAACCCAACTTGAAGTGAAGAGTCGCCTCCGGATTCATGTCTTTAGCGTTTTTGGTCAAAGGCTGCATACACAGCAAATTATCCAAGGATCCATGCAAATTGTTCAAACTAGGCGACAATTGTTTGGAAATGGATTTAGTTTGCATTTCAATGTTCACTGTATGTTTGTCCGTGTTTGAAGTCACGTTGGGTTTCAGCGACTCCCAGCGCTGGTCAAAGTCTGAATTGGCCCCCAGGTTGTGAGTATTTCGATGCACTTGGTACAAATCGGACAGCATAAACTCGATCTGAGCCACTTGAGGCCTGGATTCTTTATTGCTCCAGCACATTTTGATTAGGCGAAAGCTGCAAGAAAAACATCCAGGTGAAATAACCAGTGTTGTCATTACCAAAAGAGTTTCCCGACCGTATAAAACGACCAGTTCCACTGAGGCCTTTATTAACCAGGAGTAATGAAATGAAGCAACCCACTTACATGTAGTCGGAATACATTTGCGGTTTACTAGGGCCATCCAGTCGTAGGCTTTCCGGTCCAAATACTCGGGAAATCACGTCGTCGTCGTTTAAAAAGCCATAAGGCTGAGATCCGTTTTCGCATACTTCCCACATAACCACTCCTAAGCTCCAGACATTCGCCTCCTTGGTCAGGGGCTTGGGTTGGATGGTTGTTGGGGTGCAAACGAGAGATTCTGGAGACCTCCAGCGTACTGGTATAAGCGGCACGCCGTTTCTGTAATAATCTTCTGGATACTTGGAGAAGCTCAAGCTGTAATCTCCGAGTTTGAGAGTGAGATCGCTGGAAAGCTGGCAGTTTCTCGCCGCCAAATCGCTGAAATAAACCTAAGCTATAGATTGCGTTTTTGCACTCTGAGAGTACTTACGGGTGAATCAAGTTGTTTTCGTGCAGATGCTTTAGAGCGGATGTTAATTCAAAGCACCATTGCAGTATCCGGTCCTCACTGCCCACAGTTCTCAGTCGGGACTTTAAATCTCCGGCGCTGCAGGATTCTTGGAGCAGAAGCAAAGGGGCCGATCGCAGGCATTGACCTTTGAGGGCCAGAATGTTCGGATGCTCCGGCGCCAAGTAGAAGAGCGCATTTTGCAGAAACGAGAGACGATCACGCGGACTTGATGCGATATCCAGAATTCTCACCACCACTGGAGTCCAGGTCCGGTCGGGATCTAGATCCTGGGCTGCGCCTTCCACTACCTAAAACCAACTCTCTAGAACTTGCTGGGGGAAGCGGATTATGAATAGACGAACCTTGCCAAAGTGCCCATTTCCTAACTCCCTGATGTACTTCAGCTTTTCCCTTGGAAAGTCTATTTTAGCCCCATCTGGAACACGAAGACCTCAGAGTTAACGCGGGCGCTTTAAAAATGAGGAAAACTACTCACCGAACCATCGGCCCACATCGACGTGTTCAGCGTCCCCGATGCGCCTCTGGAAATTTCAACAATCGGATTTGATTATTTTGCGTATGAAGTGCGAGAAAATCGCCATTAAAATCCCATTTTTAGCAAGCTTATTGTATGAACGCTTCATTAGGGCTTAAGCATTGCCACTCACCTCTTGTTCATTGACCATAAATACATTGTTATTTATGGGCGGATGTAATGGGGTGAAAATGGTAAATTCACCATTCCCTATAGGGTTTACATGGCCTTGTTCCGAGCTAGTCACGGTCGACGCTACCATAGGAGTATTGTGAAATTCCTGCAAAATTGAAGTGTTTAGATTCAATAAATCATTCCCATCTCCAACTGAAACCTATACTGTACTTACTGCCATAGACAGTTGTTAAAATCAACACGAACATTGAGATTCTACGGTAAATTGACGCGCAAATTTTCACATTTAAATGTAAGAAGGACGAGAAATGACGACGTTTGGACTGCCAGGCATGTGCCGATTTAAATCTTCTTGCTGCTGAATTTGGAATTTTGTTGAAAAAATTCCATTAGTCATGAAAAGTTTATATTATTTACGTTTTTTTAAAGTTCTGTGTGTTTATTTCCATTGAATTTGGCGCGTTTAAGGAACACATGCTCTAATTGGTTACTGTTTCATAATTACCTTTTGCTTTTCTTCCTATAAATATCACCAAGCAGCCGAATGGAAAATTAAAATTAGTAAATAACACATACTACACTTGAATATTAATAAGCTAGAATTGATATGACAATTTATTTAATTTCATTTTAGCCTGCGGTAAGTCTGGATTACGATGAATTACTAGGAAAAGCAATCTTCGCACTAAATAGCAGGTAAGAAATATAAGACAAAACATCAGTATAAGGCGATAGTGGAGGTAAAGAATGAAGGTTGTGGCCACGAAAAGTATCCTTAAAAATGCAAGTTGAATGCCTAGACCAACTTGGCTGAACATTATGAATCTTTGCGATGCGCGTAAATTGCCTACAATTTGTTTACCAATGAATGAATTTGAAATTGGACGAATCGATTCGTTTGAAGAATGATACATACATAATGTACGTGGAAACGATTCAATTACCATAAGATATTCCTGATGGCAAAAGCTTGCTAAATTCTCCTGAATCTCTTACCTGAACCGTTAAGGCTTAATTTTTTTGATATTTTGGAAAACCAGGGAAAATAAGGAATGGAAAATCGTCCAGTTAACTACTTATAATTATTGGAAATTAAACTTTACCTGAAATCCTTTCCGCCTATGGCAACAGAGACATCCAGCGAATATTATAATCGTGCCAACCGTAATAAGAATAGCAGCTACACTCGTTAAAAGCTGCGTATGTTCACCTGGAACATTGAACATTTGCAATACTCAAAACTCTCCACTGCGGTTGGTGATTAATATTTTTTTCTGCTCGTTTACAGGCCAGGTTGTAGTTTTTAGAAAACTGTATAGCATTTTCCGGCCTTGACATTTACAGCAACTTAGATAAATGATAATCTATACAGATGCAGCCACATGGCAAATTACTTTGCATTCAATTTATTTTTGAAAATTGTCGGGGTTTTCGAATGGCAGATAATTGAACGCTAAACATTTCCAAACTTGGTGTTGGTGCAATCAATCAGATTTTGGTTGAAACACTCAAGACAACGTCCAAGTTAGGATTAACTATTACGTTAGTAGTGAGAGTAAATACTGCAAGTGGGAGACAATAGACAATCTAATCGATGACTCACCAATGCCATTATCTTGCAAATTGACAGGAAATCCTGTACAACAATCTACGAAGAGTAGCGTGAGATAGAAGCCCCATCTCCAGTACAATTCCATATTTCTGGCCCCAATACACACATACATCTCAGTTGGAATATGCAACTGTTCACTTTCGGAGGTTGATATATTGTGAAGGAAAAGCCGTTCTCTGCTACATGTTCAGAGCGTTGGTCAAAATTTTCTCTGCGTAAATGCCTCGCAATTCCGAGTTTAATTCGTTTCTTTTTGGCACCAACACACAATAACAAAACTCGCAGGATAAGTCAGAGGTAAAGTCAAAGTGACACTAACGATCACCATTGGCAGTTGGCTGACACTAGTGACAACAGTTCACTTGGGGGAAATGGGGAAATACGCAGATTATAACACTGTAGAAGCGAAACGCGGTAGTTGAGCTAAATATGTAAAGAGGGCGACTACAGCCCGTGTTCCATGCATCCGTTCATACGATGAAACGATGATACGAATGCATGGGTCACGGGCTTAAATCCTAATGTTTTCTGGGAAAGTTTCATTTTTCTAGATGCGCCCATAAACACCCACCCCGAGTTTAGAAACTTAAGATCTAAACAACCAAAAAGAATTTGGTTTCAATAAAGAAAACTTGGATAAAACAGAAGTGAAATTTTGAGCACCACGTACATCAGGATCGATTAATGTGCAGGAGTTTTTCGCTATTCACAGCATGTGCATGTGTTGCCTAATAATTTAAACACATGATTAAAGTTTATTGTTCAACTAGTAAAACTTTCTTAATTTGTGAATAGGCGAGCGCACATGTGCAAAATTTAATTTAATTTAGAGCTATCGCACTTCTCCATAGGAGTTTATTTGGGTTTTTATTGTTTTTTGCAACATGCTGTTTAATTATTTTTATCCTTTTATTTAAAATAATTTACTCCCAGGTCATAATACCCAAAAGCACGTAATTACCAGTTGGGGTTTCACCAGCAATTAAGCAACTAGATACATTCAGCTTCCAGCAGCTGAAATAGTTGAAAAACCAAATACGCAAAGTCTTTGCATGTGAAACTAATTAGGCAGTTTATGTGCAGCTACGCTAATTGGCGCGACATATTTTCTGCGTATTTTCATAATTAATGTCTATTTATCGTTACTGGAAAACTTAAAGTTGTAAAACGCGCCCAAATCTGGAAAATGTAAATAATTTATTTTATAATTAACGTCATGTTGACGGCATATTTATTCAATTATTTAATGGCGGATAGTTGCGATTGTGTGTAATTAGCTCCGTTAAGATTTCAAAAATTTCTGCAGTTTTTCCGATTTGTGTACTAAAATTTTATAATTTTCTTTAATGGGAAATTTTCCTTTATCGTTTGGTGCTATTTTCCCGACCGGGAGTGCGACTTTAGTGCAAAAAACTCGATTTGAAAACTCTATATTTGCCTGACGTTTGCTGTCAGTTGGAAGTCACCCGAAGTCAGAATGGAAAGCAGGACTAAATGTCATCCATATTGAATGACATTTTCGTAGTTCTTCTCCAGGTTTTGAAGACTTTGGAAGGATGCGGTTTAGAAATGAGTGGCTTAATGGTTAGTGCGATTTCTTCATACTTTTACCCTAAAATGATAAACAAACTGTTTATTTCTTCAATCTAAAACCATTTTAAATGGGCATGCATACAGTATGAGTATTAAGTTCTAGCCAAAGAAAAAACTATTTTATTATTAATGCTCAGAAAAAACTATGACTAACAGAAAACAGCGAACTTCAGTTGCGAGTAAATGAGGAGTTCGGTTGGAAAGTTCCACTAATAAATTTTCTATATAAATGTGCAAAAAATGAAGTGGTGTACCCAAAAAGTCGCAAGTAAATAAGCTGTTCTATGATCAAAGCGAAAATTGCAACATTTACTTTACTCATCATCTGAAAAAACCTCGCGACATTAAATGTTAAGTATCTAAACCAGATATTTGCAGAATATCACACGAAAACGAATTAAAATTACGACCTTCATTACGAAATTACAACTTTTAACTCGATTTGTCGTGCAGTAAGTACCTATATCGAGCTTCTGGATTTGCCATTGTTAAAAAACTACCCTGTAGAAAAGCCGCTTATTATGTTAATCAACGTTTCGCTATTTCGATATTCTTTAAACTGAACGCATTTTTTAAGGTAATTATTGATGATAATTTATTTTTGATTTGCCCCCAACAGGCAAAGGAGTCACAGACAAAGTTTTTCCATTAATATACTTGTGCTGGTCCGAGGAAAGTTGGTGAAAACAAAAATCGCTTTTTAAAGCAAGCTAGATAAAAGTATCAATAAAAAAGTTCTGAAAATCAACTCATTAGAGTGAAAATGTGAGGTGAAAGTATAAATATTTGAGCTATTTATCGGGGGATTTTCGGCAGTTTTGAGGCGAACCACACACGATTTATAATCTAGAAGATATTGCAACAAATTCACCTGTTCTAGTTCATTTTCACCTCAATGTTTCATGTCCATTTTCCGATAGAACTCGATTTTTGCCGATGTGACGTCGCGATGCGCCACTATTTACCACCGTCCGTCCAACGGACGCCGCTTATCCTTCAGTTTGCCGCAACGCGCTCTTTCCGAAACGACGTCTTGCGTCGCGACGCCTCAAGCGAGCGAAAACACGCGACGATTTGCGCCAAATAACTTTCCAAACATTTGCGAATTTCCTGTGCAGTTTTCAACACCTTTTAAACACTTCATAGTGCTGTACTTACTTAACTTACTTACTGCAAACACTTGCTTGGTTTGTGTTTAGCGGTGGTTGGTGCTGGAAAGGGTGACGAGTTTTCCTCGTGAGGGTAAGTGGGCTCTTGTCTTTGTCTCAAGATGCGTGAAGTTTATTGAAAAATACCATACAGAAGGGTTTTAACACGTGCTTTGACACTTTTACAGATTTTATTGTTGTAAAGTTTTTTTGCCAATTTGCTATTTAACATTTTTTTTCGGTAAAGGGCGCCAATTTCTCAATGGATTTGTGTACTTATTCATTCATCCAATGCGCCAGTGTTTTCCGTGATTTTTGCAAAAAAGTGTGAAATTCGTTTTTTTATATCCGGGAAAAGTATAAGATCCCGCAATTCAAATTTCATTCAATTGGAACCGTTCGGTCTAAAATAATGCTTGAAAACACTTCTTGAGCTTTTAAATTGCAATTTTTTCCATCTGTCGCACCACTTGTTGAATAGTGTGTTTTCCTCGCCCTCTTTGCACATGAAACTGGTTTTCGTCTACAGGGTGATTGAGAAGGAAATGGAAATTATTTAAGGATATGTGTAGGCAGTGCAAATAGTCAAACGAGAAATTGTAATTTAAAAAGTAGCAAAAATATATTTGAAACCAACCAAACAACATAATTGCAAACAATTTTAGTGAACGATGAAACTGCGGCAGCATTAAGAATGCGAACTAGTCAACCGCTTTATCCATGCGGAAATTAAAAAATCCAGCGGACTCAGATGCGGTGATTTCGGTGGCCAAATGCCTGTGACAATCCAGTTATTTCTGCAATGTAAATTCTTGAAATTTCTGGGATACTTTAAAGAATGCGGATGCTAAATAAGGTTCTGGATACTGAAATAACCATTTCATCAAATGCGAAAAAACCGCAGATCTGATCATTTATAATACGTCTCCATGCGTTGGTGCTAAACCTACGTTGACTTGCACACTTGCAACTGTTCTTGCAAAAATCATAAAATTTCGTCTAGATCCAGTTTTGTATTTATGCCACTGAATAGTTTTTTGACTTCCTGGATAATTCGTAAAATATTTCCATTTTCGCATGAATCAGAAGTTCTCTTAAATGTCCATTATCATTATTTTCAATTACATTTTTCCGAAGAGAATTTTCACACTGGACGTTGATCGGCTTTCCTGGTTTTTCGTTCAGATTTACCATAAAACTCATCAACTGGAACAATAAAAAAGTAAAACTTCAGTTCATCAACAAAAGAGCTTATTTCAAAATATGAGTTTAAACATATGTTTTATTATTGCTTGTTAAGTTGAAAGGGACGATTTCCCAAAGGGTTTATGTGATCTTATATGATAAACCCTTAAAAAAAACCGTCTGAAACGGTGTTTTTGTCGCGTTTTTGCAGGCATTTGTCTTTGGTGTATAGCGTTAGTAAAAAGAATAAACGCCGCCATTATTCTTGTCAATCCAATAGTGTTGTTTTATTCAGTCTTTGAGTTCATTTGTTCTAAAAAGTCCATTAATTATTAAGCACAAACACGGTCTATACAAAATTCCCGATTTACTTAAGTTGTTCAGTTTATTTGTGGCTTGGAACTCTTTTTACGAGAATATCAAGTTTTTAGTTTTTAATTGGATGGAATCGAATTGTTTGAGATGTACTTAAGTCAATTTTAAATCAGGTATTCACGATTTAAATATTAATTGAAGATAAAATTGTGATGTTCTGATAGTTTGTCGATAAAGGAAAACATTTCTCTACCCAAACCAAAAATATTTCTTACTTTTTTTTTGTGCTGTTTCGAAAATGTTTGTTTTTATTTTAAGTTAAGGTAAAGATCTTCTATTGGTGTCTCTTCATTGGTTTTTATGTTTGATTTACTTTACTCTTTGAGTCTTCACTTAAGTGGGTATTTAAATTCGCAAAACTATTACTTTTTGGACTTTTAACTAAGAAATTGAGTGTTAAGAACTGACATTTTCATTTTTTTAATTAAAAATTCAGCATTATTGCAAACGAGACCATGCAAAACTTTTGGTTGTATTTTTGGCGCAAGTGCTGGATGGAATTAAATCAATGCAAAAATTATTTTTTTAATATAAGTAATTTTAATGGAATCCAGCGATACAAATGCAAAAGTTGAACAACGTGACTTGACATCATGTTTGTTGTATAGAGAACTATTAGGGGTAATTTATCTTTGTCCTATTCGTAACTTAATGATAATAATTTTATTTCAATTACTACAAGAGTATGGCGGCGCTTAAATGTATAAACACATTGCTGGATCCGACAGTGACAAATGTACCCGCCACTTAGGTCTTCCTATTGGACGTGCCGTTGAATCCGATATGTGGAATTATCGGATTTTTTATGTCCCGATCGGGGAAAAAACTTGTTGAACTTATAGTGAACACTTCCATTTGCCTTCTTGTTTTTTCTTTTACCTTAATTTGGAAGCCGTAACTTTTGTGAGTGCCCATCGAAATAGTATAAATGTTTCTTGTGAGTGACATATTCAAACGATCAAGCTGATGATTCCTTAATGCAAAAACACGACAAAGTCGCATGTAAGGACTGGTTAAAGTCCACAAACAGGGAGTGTAAATAATCACTCTAATATTGTATTTACACCCTCTGATGTTTCGATTTCATTAATCATACATTCGAGGCGTAAATCCATGTTAGTTGTGTTAATATTGTGGTGTGTGTGTTTTTGTAAAAGAAGCACATTAATGATGTGACAAAATACGGCCCATAAATCTTTGTCATTTTTGTGTGTCGATTTATTTTGAATACTTTATTCTTGAAAAAAGTTATTGTGTCTTCCAACTTTGTGGACAGAAACAAAATACGCTACTTATTTAGTGTGAAAATTTCCACCCACTGCAAGCTCCAGTGAAAATTGATTAATAAATTATAAAATTAATGTTTCTTTTCCGAGCTGAAGCAACACCGAAGTATAGAGTACATCAAATAAACATCCAGAACTTTCATTGCTGAGTTAATTGAATAAAATGAGGTGCAGTAATAAAATCTGGCCAAGATATTAAAACTGTGTTTACGATAAAGTAGGAATTGTTTATTTAATATAAACTACCTTTACTTTTCAAGTTTATAAATAATTGGTCATCTGATTTGCCGATAGGTGTATACATTGTAGGTCTATTTAGCTAATGCGGGGAATGCGAAATTTGGTACAATGTTTTTTTTTCGGTTTCAATTTATGTTTGTCCACGACTTTGTACAAATTTGCAAAGAAAGGCGTGTAGTTGGCCGAGCACGTTCAATTTTGGTTCCTCATTCACAAGGTTGATAAAAATCAGGATCTTGTGCGATTTGAGCGAAGTTATCAGAGTGTGGACCCCTTGGTGTCTTCTATAGGGTGTGCGAATTTCAAGGTGGTGCCTGCGCTGAATTGAATGTTTCGAATTTCTAAAGAAGGACGTCCAGTTGCCCGGAAATGTTAAATTTCGGTCCATCATTCACAAGATTCACAAAAATGGGGATCTTGTGCGATTTAAGCGAAATTATCAGGGTTTGGAGTCCGAAGTGTCTTCTATAGGGTGCGGAAATTTCAATTTGGTGCCAGCTCTGGATTCTAAGTAATAATTTTGTAAAGAAGGGCGTGCAGTTGGGCAAACACGTTCAATTTCGGTCCATCATTTATAAGATTGGCAAAAATCAGGATCTTGTGCGATTTGAGTAAAATCGTCAGGGCTTGCAGCCTTAGGTACTTTCTATATGGTGTGCGAATTACAAGTTGCTACTTGTACTAAATAATAATTTTATAAATTTTAAAGTAGGGCCTACGGTTTGGCGAAACAGTGCAGACATTTAGGCGCAAGATA